AATTTGTAAAATTTTTGTGTGAAACACAAAATAAAAAAGTTTTATTCACTAAAATGTGTATTACTATAGGGATTGACACTAAATGGTACGCCAAATGGCAATCAATAGCATGTAATTAACAAATGAATGCTTCATATACAATGACATGCAGTACACCGTGTACTAGTCATATGTCCAATAGAAAAGTTAGTTTAAATTTAATTAAATTTTAATTGAATACAACAAATGATATAAATTAAATTAATTTTGCTATTAATGGTCTAATAACTTGTGTGTCGGCCCTCATTATTAATGGCCTCCTTTATGTGGTTCGGGAAAGAGTGGACCAACTTTCTCAAGAGTTGAGGATCCAATGAGTGCCACTTTTGCTGAACTCTGGCCACCAGTTGATCACGTGTTCGGGGGAATGGGAGTTTAAACACGGAATCTTGAAGGACACCCCACAAGGGCTCAATGCAATTGAAGTCCGGGGAGTTCCCACTCCAGACACCGTGTGTCCAGGCGTACCGAAATGTTGATTGGATTTTCTAGATAACAGGCCGAACATTATATCCAGGGGCAGAATCCTGTTGCATAGTGGCCTTTCTTTTGTTCGGGATCAGTTNGGCCGAACATTATGTCCAGGGGCAGAATCCTGTTGCATAGTGGCCTTTCTTTTGTTCGGGATCAGTTTAGTATCATTTATTGCACGCAAATATATGGGCAGAATCTTCTCCTCGTATACTTTGCCACCAATTGTCTCCTTTTCTGGACACACATACAGTTGTGTGACACCATTGGCTGTCATACCTCCGGCGACCATAATTTTTAGTGGATGTTTTGGGACACCTTTAATGGTCTTGTTTTTGTCTGATGTCCTGACTCTTGTGTTTTGTTTGCTTGGCATTGGATTCAATTCAATCGGCGATTCATCGGTAAAAAGGATGTTTTCCCGAAGACTAACTCCATGTCGGGTGCGGTCACAATACCCGTCCAACTGGACATTTAAGGCAAATGTCAGCCGATCTCTAATATTCTTCGGTGTCAGCAATGGTTTTGGCTTTAATTTGCGGGCAATTTTGCCCCAAGTCTTGCACTTCACGTAACTTTGGACACAAGTCTTTGATATCGTTTTGTTACGGCTTTTGAAGTCTTCGCTATTGTTCAGCGTTTTTGTGCATTTCCTCACTGAAGAGCCGATTTTGTCTTTCATTAGATAAGTTATCCGTCTTTTGGTGTTTGGCGACAACTTCTTCATCGGTTTAGTGTTGTGGTTGTGGTGACAGTCCTCACGGGTTGACCACTTCTTTGCCGTTTTATAGTCACACTTCAATACTCGGGCCACTTCTGAGATACCCATTCCCTGACTGACCAACAGTTGGATGTTTTGTCTTTTAACTTCTTTTTCACTCAATTTGTTCCGGACTTTCATTTTGAGACACAATTTGATGACAAAAACTATTTAATTCTAAATTTAACCCAAAATACGCAATAGAATTGCCTATAAAATCAATGCTTTGGACAAATGACTATTACATGGTGTATATCTGATATTGTAATAAATAATATGTAACATTTTAACCATTTATTTAAACATAATGATCACAATAATACCATGTGAATGTTAATAGGTTATTTCTAAATACCAAACTGATTCCTAGAAAGCTGCACTCAATATACCTAATGTTTACTCAGAAAAAGTACTCTTATCTTATCATTTATTGTCAATCGGAGTTGCACTAAATTGGTGCACAAAATTATCGGTGTTCATTTGTGCTATAAAAGGAGACAGTGAACATTTTCAAAACTTTAATAATACTTTAATGAGCAATTCTAATTAAAATAGTTATGTTATACCAAACATCGAGTCAATTATGACATTTTTCTTGTGGTCAGTGCTGGCGCCGATATCCCAGGTATGTGAGTGGTATCTCATTGGACTCATTGTGGCAGTACTCGCCTATTATCACTTGTAAGGCATCCAGTTTATATCATTTAAATCCACTTTATATTGATTACAATTACTAATTAAGTACTCATTCATTCATTCATTCATTCATTCATTCATTCATTCATTCATTCAGTTCGTGGAAAAATGCCTTAAGTTATTGGAAGAACCGACAGATTTCTGGTCCAAAACCCATACCTATATTCGGAAATGTTTTGAGTCCTGTCCTAAAAGCGCGACCATATGTGGAGATGGAGTGGTATAAGAAATATGGCAAACTGTTTGGGTATACATATACCGACAGATTTCTGGTCCAAAACCCATACCTATATTCGGAAATGTTTTGAGTCCTGTCCTAAAAGCGCGACCATATGTGGAGATGGAGTGGTATAAGAAATATGGCAAACTGTTTGGGTATACATAGCATGAAAACAACTTATAATTTAAAATTATTTTAAATGAAAACTTTTTGATTGTAATGAATAGTGTGTTCAATATGGGTAAGCCTTCCCTAACAGTGGCCGACCCGGAGCTCGTCAAACAAATTCTGGTCAAAGATTTCCATTCATTTCGTAACCGAACGACACCTCCGGGACGTAATAGAGTGATCGCAAAGAATATGTTTAGTGCGAGGGATGACGACTGGAAACGAGTCCGGGCTATAGCCAGCCCTACCTTCACGTCCGGAAAGATGCGGAAAATGTATGCTCTGATCAACCATTGCTGCAAAGACTTCATCGATAGCCTGGATAAGGATGTGTCGAATGGTATGAATGAAGTCGAGTTGAAGCAACTGATGGGCGCCTACACTATGGATGTGATCGCCAGCTGTGCCTTCGCTACCAAAACCAATACATACGCCGATCCTAACAACCCGTTCACTACTAAAGCCAACAATCTGTTCAATATTCCCGTTTGGAGAGGGATGTTACAATTGCTTTTGCCATCATTTATAGTAAACACTGATATATACCGCCGAACTTTAAATGCCGGCACTTCTGACATTGACTTCTTCGTAGACTTCTCCAGAAGTTTAGTACAGAAACGAAAGAAAAACAATGAAAAACATAACGATTTTCTGCAGTTATTAATGGATGTCGAGAGAAGTGATGGCGATATCCGAGAGGCCAGTGATGCCAATGAAGCACATCATGTGAATGAGGGGAAGGATGAGATGAAAGCCGACGCCGAAGCTCTCAGTGATGTCGTCGAGAAGAAGTTGACTGAAGACGAGATATTAGCCCAATGTTTCCTCTTCTTCACCGCCGGTTATGAGACGACTGCCACTACTCTGTCGTACTGTACGTATGAGTTGGCTCTCAATCCTACACTTCAGGACAGACTCTATGAGGAGACGAAAGAGGCGTTCAATGAAAAGGGAGAAATCGATTACGAAGTGCTGTCGAGACTACCATTCATTGACGCACTTCTGTCCGAAACTCTTCGCAATTATCCGCCTTTACTTCGACTTCAGAGGGAAGCCATGGAAGACATAACTCTTGGAGACACTGGAGTGAAGATCGAGAAGGGAGTGATCGCCGAAATCCCTGTCTATGCTATACATCACGACCCCGACTACTATCCGGATCCATTTACCTTCAGCCCGGATAGGTTTATGCCTGAAAACCGGGATCACATCCAAGCCTACACTTACCTGCCTTTCGGATCGGGTCCACGAAATTGCATTGGAATGCGATTCGCGTTATTGGAGGCAAAGCTCGCGTTAGCGAAGATCTCACAGCAGTTCCGCTTCTCCAGAGTCACCGACACTGACGTTCCCGTAGTCTTCAATAAGGGTCGGACTTTTTGTCAGGCAAAACGACTTGTGGTCGGCATTCAGAAACGATAGATTATTTTAGGGTATATTTAATATGCAATTTGCTACTAATAACCAGTACATTTATCAAGTTATATAATAGAGATTATATTGCTAAAATTTTGGGACATAAAAATTGTGTTGAATATAAGTTATTAATTGTTTGTACTCCTAAGTTTGGACACACAGCAAACTATTCAATTTATCTTAGAAATTAAATTATAAAATAAAATTATAGTTTTATGTTATGTTAAATGTGTTAAATGATACATTTGAAATTGACTTGACTTGTTAAAATAAGCAAAAATTATCGATTTTATAAACCCCAGTTAGCCCACTATGATTTTGCTAATTAAAATGAATTAAAAAATAAGTATATTTTATCAAAATTAAAATCTAAATGAATCCACAATTGGTTGATTTTAATCAATTTCATCAAGTACATTAATTTTCCACTTAAATTCCACAAAAATCAATAGATAGCTAAATTAGTTCTATAACTTGTTAATTTTTGCCTATTTCATCAATTACATTAGTTTATTTAAAATTTTACATTACATACAACAATGATTTAATTGCTGTATATATTTTGAAACAAAAGTTACATTAAAAAGTAAAACATTAATTACAATGTAATTATGAATTATTACTTGGTACCAATACAATTACATTTGTGAATTATTTGAAAATTTTATTTGTACTTGTTAAAACATAATCGTGTTAATATTTTTATAAGTTTTAAGTTTTCATGATCCGGTAAGACAAATAGTCAAAATTGAACTTGGTCACGAGGGTATTATAAGGACAAAATTGTTTAAAATCTAGATTAGCAAATAAATTTAACAGCTCCTGGTCACACCATAATTTAAACATAACTACAATTCACTTTACATAATTGTTTCATTAATTTAAAAATAATTTTTAATAGTGGCAAGTAATTTTA